TTTCTAAACCTTGCTTTTTAATCACAGTAAACATCAGAGCTGAAGAATTGGAGAGAAATTTGGCTACTTCTTTGCGTTTTTGCTCAGACTGGTCTTTGATGCCTTCTCTTTCCCAGGTTCACTGCCCAAGCTTTATGAATGACACCAGCATGTAGTCTCAGATTCTGGGATCTGCACATGCCCTGTATTTCCTTGCCTACAACCCTGTTCCCAAGAATATACAGCCCCCAGGCCAGGTGCTGTCCCCAGCAGAAGTAGGGCAGGGTGCCACACAGACACGTAACCCCACGATGAACATCAATATGCCATGTTGTCACTTGATCTCCCAAAGGCAGCTACCCTCACAAGTAAGCCTGGAAATTAATTCTTTTCCAAGATCTCTAACCCATGTGTTGATCTCTGCAGAGCTGGCAAAGCTCTGAAGCCAAGGAACCCGAGAATTGCTGGTGGGAATTCATGAGAGATGTCCTAGCACTGTGGAGCAGAGCAGAGGTGCCCAAGCTACCTCTAAATGAGACAACCAGGGTTTTGTAGCAGTCTTTCTGCCACAGGATGGAGCTCAGTGCAGGCTGCAAAGCATTTCTAGGAAGCTGGATAAACACTGAAGCATCTTTCTGTCACTGATGTTCATACTGCTGCTTCTTGATTGCTATCAGCACCCATGCTGGTGGCTCAAAAAGCCTTGTTTAGGTAGGCCTGAATCCCACTGCAGAGCCTACACCATCAATACGCCCCCAGGCAGATAAATTCCAAAGTGACTGAAAAAAAAAATCATGTAGGTGAAGGTCTTGATCATGTCTGAGAAAGTACAATAGAAAAAAAAAGTAGGGGAAAAAAAAAAAGAGCCAGCTTTTGTAAGAAGTGAGCATGTGAACTCCGTGGCTTCAATTTTGCACCACTTGCTCTGTTCACCATCTCTATGAAGTGTTTCTCACACAGAAGTGTATTTTTAACAATGCTGAAAAGAACCTGCCAGAATTGGAAGCCCAAGCCACTTTTACCCTGGATAAATGGGATGCAAATGTCACATAAGAGGTTAAATAGCACAGGAAGAATTTATTTTTCCTCGTTTTAAATCAAGCATGGCAAAATTAGTATTAATGAGGCTGATCTTTCTGACTGTGAAACCTCACTGAATACCAATATTTAACAAGAGAAACCACCAGAGTTCTCCTTCTACCTGAGTGCAATGCACAACCAGAAACTGCCTGACTGAAGGAGTTAAAATTTTCTGCAATAATGCAACAAATCACTCCATGCAACAAACAGCAGGCACATTCTGTGGCAGTCTCCCCACAAACTTCATTCTATGGGGGAAAAAAAAAAATCTTGATTTATTATATAGCATTTGGACAGTTGTGAAAGAAAATTTGCCAAAGATCAGAATAATCACCTCTTTCACCCAAGCAGGTTTTTTATGGAAGAAAAAAAAAAAAAAAGCACAGAATGGGTCTGAGCAAAATAAATAAAAATTCCACACTTTTAACCAACAGAACCTTTTGCGTCATTCAGAAACATTTACAGACATCCAGAATCTTGTATCATCAAAAAGACACCCTGGCCTTTAAAATGACAACTTTTTCTTATGTTTTTGTTTACTGATGGCCCTTAAACCAGAGGGTATCCCTCACTTGTGGCATCTCCTCATGCCGCGCTCATCAAATGCAGGAATTTCTAAAGCTGAGCCTTGCTAGTTTTTCCTTTCCCTTGAAACATCTCTCTTTTGCTAAGCTATCAGCTGTGAATTTTAAAGACAGCAGAAGAGCATTTACTAGCAGCATCCATCACATGAGTCATCGTCACTAGTGTCTCCAACACCAGTTTTCATCCATCAAAAGGGCTCTGATGCCAATATAAACCTGGAAAGGGGTAGCTGTTGTAATGCAATTAAATACAGCCGGGAAGAGGGCTGCAAATAGAAACACCCATTAACCATTCTCCGCAGATAAGCACATATATTTATGTATATACTCAAGCCCCTCTCAGAGCCCATTAAAGGTGTAAAAAGTGTATCATCCCTGTTCCACTTCCCTGTTCAATTAGCACACAATGAAGGTCACTGAATTTCCCTGCAAAAGGTGTTGTGTAGTTTGGACAAAAAAGAAAGGAGAAAAGAAGTTGCTTTTAAGTGCAATCCAAAAAAACAGCTCTTTAGCTAAAAGGCACTTTTAATAAAGATGTTTCCAATGTTTGTTTGTTTATCAAAACCCAGTGTTTCTCTCGGGTGTTTTGATTTTTGTTTCTGTGCATGAGAAGGAGGGGGGAGAAGGGCTCTAGTGAGCCAGTCTTTCGGTAAGACACCAGATGATGGATAGTCAAACACAGAGTCTCCTGTAAACACAGAGGGAACCAAAAGGTATGAACTGACTCATAATTTTGTCAACACAAGTCGCAGACCCTTGGTTTATTTCAGCCTTCCTGTTTTTCACAGATTTCTTCTCACACTACACTATTTTTTTTAAGACACAGACTCTTTTCAGTACACGTTAGTGGGGTGCAAAAGCACACACGTTTTTACACCAAAATGTGGGCATCTACACACACATGTAGGCTGGATTGCCTCAATGACAACAGCAGCATTTTCCATCCATGGCTTACGACTGCATTAAACTCAGCCACGTCTTTCTTCACAGCAACCCATGCCCACTCTCAATGAAAAGGTCCATCCCATCCCTGCCTCCAGCTTTTCCACAGTGGCTCTTGGGAAGTACCCAGAAAAGAGGAGTACAACAAAACCTCAACAGTCTAGTCCTCCAGTTCATGCAACCCTCTAAGACTCGATGTTATTTTTTTTTTTAACATGTGGCAAAGTGGCAAGACTGTGTCTGACCAAAAGTACTGGGAGGTGGACACACAGCAAAGAGGTCTGTGATGAACAGAACCTACCAGTATTTGTCTTGATCTCTAAACACATTGAACTGAGGCTGTAGCCTTTTCCTTGTATAAAGTTGCTCTCTGCTGGTGCCTATATCCACAGAGACCGGAGGAAAAAGCCTCTCTGGGGTCTCTATTTCATTATCAAATTTGATTGGCACTGACCAGGGAGCTAAGAAGTTGTTAGGGGAGGGACTGCTGGGCAAACACACTAAGCAGTTGGATCCTCTCCAAGTCATAGAGCTGGTGGTTCAAGAAAGATGTTTCAGTACGTTCCCTCACAACACACCCCTGGAAACACCTCGTCACTTTAAATTCTGAGATCCTTATGAAGCACTTCCAGAAAATAACAAATGAAGATGGATTAAAGACAGGGGAGTTGTTGTTCTTGGCAGAGACAGTAAAAGGAGTTTAAGGCCAGACTGCAATGACTTATCCTTGGATATCCATAAGCCACACAAAGCCCAGTGCAATGGATCTACCTGCACATGCAACAGATCCACCCTGAGCACCTCAGATGAACCACACACGTGCAAATGACTTAAGGCTATAGATCAAGAGGGTCTGGCTCATCCAAGATGTGTCTGATCCTCTGGATGAGCAAGGAGAAGTGTAGGAACAGCAACTGCTTGGGATGTTTCAACCTCAGCGAGATTAACTGAAAAATAGTAAAGCCAACAAGGACAGATGACTTCACTCAAGCTGAGCAGTGCCTCATTTCTTGTGTAATCACATCCAGCTCAGTGGGATGGCTACTCCACAAAGATCAGAATCACAGAACAAGTATCTGGACCTTGTTTTCCCCCGTGTAAAAGTCAGTTGCTAGAATCCCCAGTCAACAGGTAAACTTTGCAGTGAAGCCAAATCCACAAAAAGCGTCACAAGGGCTCTTGGCCTGTTACTTCAACAATTCATTCATAAAAAAAAAAAAAAGCAAAACAAATGGCATTTTGGAAAAACCTGACATGAAAAATGTGCCAGAAATAGCATTTCAGAAGCAGAAATCATTGGCAGACATTTGTTTTTTTAAAGACTGCTCATTTTAGGATATTACACCTTTGTAAAGAGAAAGCACTGTATCTGGTGTCATTTTCCCCTGTAAGAACCAAGGCTGATGGAACAATGGAGAGAATTCCCTATGAAATTATAAAATATTAATTTTATACAGAAACTTCCCAGAAGGTTCTGCACCTTTCAGAAATTTTTCCAGGGTTTGTGTGTTTGTCAAGTGGCCATAAACTGGGAAAACACTGCCTTTTTCCTCCTACCTCCCCCTTACCTCCTTTTAGCCCTATGGCAAAGATGAGGAAAGCAAAATTTACTGAAGGATACCATGAGAAGAGTTTCAAAACATTCCACACGTTTCCTCTGCATAAACACTCTGTGCATTTCACATGTAAATAGTGCCAGGGCACTGTCACTCAGACCCCAGGAGTTCACCCAAGTTAGACAAATTATGCTGGCCCTTATCACAGTTGTTACAGTTTCTTGCCTTTCATTCATTCATTGCCAGTGGCTGGATCTCATGTCAGTGGAGCAGAGAGAAGCAGCCTCAGCTGCTGAAGTTAACCTCTTGTGGTGAGACCCGTAACACTGGGCAGGATACACGGGAGATATCTGCCAGCCTTGTTTGCCAAGGCAGCAATTTAGAGCTACTTACTACAAAGGGATGCAGGACATGATGAGGGGATTGACTTCTGCATGTCCTTTTACAGCCACTTTGGTCCGGGTAGGTCCCAAGTCAAAGCACCCATCCCACATGGCAGCTACTGTCTAGTGGCGAATGCCTGTTGGCTCCTAGAGCCTGTGCATGCAAAGCAAAGGGCCTGGGCACTGCCAGCCCCAAGCCCTGCCTTGCAAGTGAGTTATCAGAGCCATAGGACACCAGGTTGGAAAGAACCTCAAGGATCACCTAGTCCAACCTCTATACCAGTCCATCCTGGTGTCTTGAAGGAACCAGAAAATGCTGAGTTTGCACAGCAGCATCAGGGGAGGTATATGCATGGCACGCCCATGTCTAAAATGATTCCATTTAATGACAAGTACCTTGAATGGTGTTCTGCTGAGCCTGTTTTGATATCACATTTTATATAAGCTGTACTGTCAAGGAAGGGAAAAGCTCTTACCTATTGTTCTTCGGAGATCTTCACACTGGCTAATGTGAGGGAATTTCAAGATTTCCTTCCACTTTTTGCTTTTGCCTTTGCGTTTCCCTCCACCCCCTGCAGAGAAAGAAATGTGAGGATTAGATTCCTTTGGGGACATAGTCCCATCCAGAGTTTACCAGCCCAGTCACAGTTCCTATGCATATCATTTATAATTAAAGCTGAGACGTTGTGTGTCAATGTACAGATCAAATCTGAGCTCATCTGGGCTAAAACACACCAAGGAGGTGACATCTGGCAGAAGATCAGCTTGCTAAGAGTGGAGAGTTCAGTATTCTAGCCCATCAAGTCCAGTTTAGATGACAGTGCTGAACTGCACATCTCCAACATCATCTCTGCCCCAACTGGCAGCCATTTTGTGCTAGTCAAATAATCTTGCAAAATTACAGCTCACATGTTTTTAACCTGGACCACCTCCTCCTGGTTTTGGCATAAGCTCTCATTCCGCCCCAAAAGAAGTGCTGGAAACTGAAGATCAAATTTAAATTCTTTCCACCTCCCCCCCTCACATTAACTACAATGCTAACGTGGCATAACCACTGATGTTACATACTCTTGTCACTGCTGGTGCCACAGCAGGAGAACAGGAGGATAAAATTTACGTAACATCCTCATGAAAAGAAAATCTCTTTTTGGTCCTTTTTTTTCCTTCTCATTTTTCTGTGAGATTTCTTGAACTGGGCTGTCCTCAGGGTGAACAACCTAGCTGGACACTCCAGCTCTGGCAGGACCAGGCCCAAGATCCTCAGCTCTTCCACGCTAATGAATATCCCTCATCAACATCCCTTCATAAATACCGTGCTGAAGGCATCACTGGCATCTCTAGGTGCAATCTCTGAACTTATCCAGCCAAGCGACCTGCACTTGGTGTTACTCTTTCATGCTGCCCACACTTTCCTTGTCTCCCCTTCCCTCCACTCAAGCTCCCCATCTCTTTTCCTCCCCTTTCCCTCTCTCTGGTTTCCCAGGTCTTTCTCCTGCTCCACTCCCAGGTGCCCTTTTCTGGTTTATGGCAACACTGGAGCAAAACCAAATATGATTCGCTTTAATTTTTCTAAAAAGAACTTTCAAAGTGTACTGGCTTGATTTGGACCTTTCTGTTGTTGTTCCCAAGTCAGAGTGACAAACCCTCCTCACATTCTCCAGTGCAAAGACACTTTTTCTTTTAAAAATCATGTTTGCAGGATGAGGGACTTGGGCACCATGCCTGTCATGGTGCAGAGTACCATGATTTTGAGGGTCTGTTTCTTGCCCACTGCTCCTTGCTCTCAAGTGGGATGCTTTCCACACGGGGCCTCCATCAGGAAAGGTCACATCCCCAGCACACCTCGTTCTGCTCCTTGCTGGGATCACGAGCCCACTCGCTGCCCACGGGCTGAGGCTCCCTCAGCCCAAGGAAGCCTAATGCAGGCTGACATGCCATGCGTGCTCTTCCTGGCTGGCTGCTAGATGGGCACTCAGAGCTGAGGCAGCTCAGCCTAAGAGGACAGTTTCAGATTCTTCTTGCAGTTTGATTTTTTTTTTGTACCATCATTAAGCATTTTTTTTTACTCCAACCTTTATCTGGATTTCTTTTTTATGACCCCACATTTTTTTCTGCTGCCACATCAGCCCTACTGCAGAGGACAGGAGGTGTGGGGTGGGGGGTTCATTCCTGGCTTATGTGCCTGTCCTGCTTGGAGAGGCTGTGCAGCCAACAGAGGAGGAGTATCCCCCTGGACACAAAAGCCCACATGCAGCCTGAGCTGCTCTGGTCACTGTATTTACTGCCCTTCAGTCCCTGCACACAGAACCTGATCCACTGGAGCCTGCTTCACATGCACTGGCACACTGGATGACTAAGGCAGAGCTGAGTTAATTCTGTAGAGAGGTTGGTAGAGTCACAACTGCAGACTAGGGGTGTGTGGGGTACTACATGATATTGCAGGCCACATTAGGAGAGCTTTGACTCAAAGGTAGCAGGCCATTATAGAAAGCATGAGCTGTGGAAGAAACTCAAGTATTTGATCACACAGGAGAACTTGTGGCACAGGAGTGCTCCTTCTGCATCTCACCTTTTACTCCTTTGCTTTTGGCGGCCAATGGTTTTGTCATTGCAAAGCTTGCCTTGAATTACTGTAAAGTTCTTATTGACAGGAACTTACTGTATGCCTGCATGATGCTCTGCAGAGCAGAGAGATCTGCCCTAGCCATAAAGGGACTAGCATGTTTAGGCTATGAGGAAGACAGCTATGCTACCCTCTCCAGGAACTGGGCTCCAGCAAAGCACAGAGAGCCGTGACTCCCTTCACACTATGCTGTGTCACACAATGCAGATGTACCCCTTGGGTCTATAATGAGCTCTTCAGCTTCCCCTCTTCAGTGTACCCCAAGCACTGCTGCTAAAGTCACTTCCTCTCCTGTCCCTCCTCTTGCAGCATACAGCACTTGGTTTTGCATGCTTAAGGTCTCAGGTATGCTACAAGGTGCTAAGAAGCATTTTTGGGCTGGGGTAATCTTTTGCTGACTGCTTGCCCAATACAGAATGGCATTATCATTAACAGGCAGACCAGCAGCCAAACTCCTCCCTCTGCTACCACATCACACCCCAGAGACCCAAAGTGCCAGACACCCAGAGGCAGGAACAAGCCAATGCACGCACCAACAACAGTGGACATGAAGAACAGAGCAAGCCAGGCAAGAAGCCAAGCCATGGGTGATGGTAGCAGCCAGGCCATAAGTCCTGTTATATGGCAGGGACTCAGAGACAGCTTCATGCTCTGGCCCTACCATCCTAGGAACTTAACTTGCCACAAAGAGCCAGAATCACAACATATGCACCATGTAAACAGTCCTCCCAACCCCACTGCAAGCAGACTCAGCTCTTACAGAGGTGGCTTCTTGCCCCACCTCCAAGTTAATGTGGAAGGTGGGGGCACCTGGTGCTGATCTCCTTATCAGTTTCTACCCAAGGCTGGCCAGACTCTGGGTAAAAACCAATCAGGAGGGTCTTTCTTGCCTCGTTGTGGACATCATCCATGATGCCAACACTCATTCAGGGCTGGGAGTTAAAGCCCCAGCACTTCAGGTGAGCACTGTGATCATCTGTTCACAAACTCCTGGAACACGTGGCTCTGCTCTAGTTGCCACAGACTGCACGGGTTGGATTCAGCAACCAAAGGGTTCTGCATTGGCATTTGTCTCCCTGAAAGCCCATTCTTGGAATCCTGACCATCTGCTCCTCCCTTCCAGGCTGCCACTTCCATTCACCCCTCTTCTCCTTTTCCAGGAGCACCTTCCTTCATGCTCCTGCCTTTATGCCTCATCACACCATACTTACACTTCTCTGCCCACTCCCTTCACACGCTCCTCTGGGGAATGATCCTTCCTCCAGAAATTCCCATTTCCTTCTCTTCACCAGTCATTCTCTTTGGCTGCATTTCCTTCCCTGATCTATTGCTTCATGTTTTTCTTCACACTCATATATCTTGTAAACTTTAAGTTCTGTGCCTTGATGTCAAACCTCCATGGAAATGAAATTAATTAAGTATGTATGTATTAGCACTGGGGGAGGGATGGGAAGGGGGTGGAGGGCAAGGAGCAGGGGGCACAGCTGGGCTGGTGTCACAGCAGCATGATCCCCCTTTGAGAGACACAGGGTTGGAATCTGGATGTCTGGATCGCTTCCTCAGGCTGCCAGCTCCCAGAGCAGCTCATCCCACCTCCACACACAAACACGTGCCTCTCAGTTCTGCCTGTTGCCTGTCCCACTGCAGAGACCCACTCTGCTCTCACTGAGGAACAGACAGAGAGGGCTGCTGTAAAGGGGCAGGCAGGAGCTCTCTGTCTAAGGTACGAACAGGCACTGGAGGCAGTTCAAGAGGTACGCAGCTGCTTGGGCAGTGGTGCCTGCTAGAACAGTATTTCCAGTCATTTCTGGACACAGGAGAGAGTGGGAGTAAACCAGATGAAAGCATCCTTCAGGGTGCCTCTGCTCAGCACTGGCGTATCTCCACCCGTTGAAGGTCCAGCCTCTAAGCCAAAGCACTGGGGATTCCAAAGTGCACCCGTTTCTCCAGCCACCCTTACAGAAGTCCTCACAAAATGGTTGCATCCTTAGCAGCATCAAGCTGTGCAGAGCATTGCAAAATAGCCCTTTGCTCAAAATGACATCTCTGAGATTTGTGCAGAGACCAAACGATCCTGCTAAGCTGGGCCTGAACACTTTTAAAATCCATTTGATGTAAAATATATATTGAAATATTTACATTGGATAATGTATTTCCGACCTTAAATTTCCATCAGAACTGGAGAAGGGCTCTGCAATCCCCTGTTACAACCGTGATCGATGCAGCCAGCGCGTTCTCTTCTTTTTTTGTGGCCATCCTCCAAAAATAAGCAGCCTTGCCTGATGAATCATCTGCTCTTAGCTGAGCGTGAGGCAGCGTTGCTGCTCTGCCCGTGACGTCTTTATGTTAAAGATTCTGATCAAGTGCTTTAATCGACCTGACCTTTCCACTCACAGCTTTTCTTGTGGAGCCAGCAGTGTTTGCTGGCTCCCAACGTTAATTCTAGGGGGTTTGAAGGACATAATGCCGGGAGACAGCTGAGAGAGGGTGAATTGTCTAGCAGAGCTAAAAGCTACAAGGGGAGGTTTCTCTGAATAGGTCAGGTCAGTAATTGTGCAGGTTGCAAAGAGAAGCTTTTCACACCTTCTGCCTTGATTGCTGCCTTCGCGCTGGACTCTGGACAGGAGGATCTGCAATCTTCGAGGCAGCTTCTCAGGGCAAGGCTTGACAGATGTGCCATGTTTTAGATATGATTTCCACCGTGTGGTGTTGGAGGGTCTGGCTGCTTTAAAATCTTGGTTAACTGCTGATGACAAAAGGCTCCCAGCAACAGCACAGGATCTCAGCTCCACTCCCTTGCACACACTTAACAACTCAGCGCTTGCAAACTGAGGACTGAAGCTAATTCTCTAACATGTCAACCAGGAAACATGTCCTACAGGAAACAAAAGCATTTGCTCTACATCTTGCCTACTGAAAAATACATGGCATTTTTCATATA